ATGTCAAGATTTTTTCAGCAAGTTGATCTGCAAAGTAGTTAACGTAGGTACCTCCTTTTGTAATACATATTTTGTTAACGAAGCTTGTCTATTATTTTTGAATGAAAAGTACATGAATAATGTTAAAAACCATTTCATGCAAGATCAAGTATTAAAAAAAAAGAAAAAAAACTTACATGATGGAATTGAGAATCAGTAGAGGAAAGTTCTCCAATTTCCCATCGTTCACCACATTTATCATATATTAACGAAGATTTTAAGTCTTCGCGTACAATTGCATGTATTCTTCAAAATCATTGATGATTATTCGAGAACACTTTTACTTCCCGCCAAGTCGTATACACGCTTTTTAAGAGGGCAATTATGTCATATTCAAACCGACTCATTTTGAACTTTTAAATTTAACCAGAGTGTAATCGCCTTTAGAATGAGCGGCGTTGATAATTTGTTGTTCGATTTCTTTCATGTTTTTTCTAAAATATGGGATATTTCTTGCGATTTAAAAAAGTATCCAAAATGAACTCCGTACTAAATTGACCCCCGGGGCAATGCCCTCCAGGAAAATGTTTATTTTAAAATATTTCTAAAATTGAATTAGAATAAATTGTATAATAGTTAGGAGCTGGATTTAGATGTGTTGGGGATTAGAAGAGTGGAGTAGGTATTTCAATTGCTGTGATTTTAGTGGTGGTATGATGGTGGTAGTGATATTACTGATGGTAGTGGTCCGGTGTTCCATTGGTTGTTCCAATAGTATTCCGATATTCCAGAATCCAGTTCCGGTGAAATTTTCACTGGAAACCGGAATTTCCCATCACTGGTATTTCGTCTTCATTCTGACTTGTATTGCGGAAACTTTACTGCCGCTTGCAGCCATAATTGATTTTTCATCTTTGTCATAAGACTAAAGTACAATTAATAGAAAGGAAATTTCAATAATAGTGCGAAATCGATTATATTTATTCACCTTTACATTTTCGCAGAAACATTCCCAAAGAAGAAATCTAACTAATTAAGAATGACAATTAATTAGACCATGCTGAATTGCATATAAGTAAGGACTTTGCATATAAAATTAAAATATAAACAGAAGTCATAGTCGATTGACACAATATCGTGATATTATACTCACATTTTGCGGATAATTCATGGAGCATAATTTTAAGAAAGCAACCTTCAATAATGATGGTTGTTTATCACCGGTATTATTTGGGTTGATGTAGATTACGTCTCTTCATTTATTTGATTAGAATTACTTTAAATATAAAAATATTTAACCATATTTTAGTAAATTTCATTCCGTGTTCGTTCTAAAATAAAACAAATACAAAGGAATATAAAAACCATTTTACATAGTGATATGAACGAGAATTAAAGTTTCTAAGCAACCTCACCTTAGATAATAAAAATGAAGTTCATGTTCGCTTGGTATATGATGATACTAAGAAACGTAAAATAAATTAATTTATATATATAACAATTAGTTTCAAATAAATATTTTTTATAAAAGACTTACACACTTCGCGTTTCGTTCTTTCCAAATGTATGATAATTGTCGAGGTAAATAGTTCCTGTTCGATCACTTGTTTCCTCATTAACAGGAATGATATTTGCTGTTATTAAACAACCTGCAGTCTTCTGAAGTAACTGGTTTCCTGATTTTTGGAGCATTAGTAGCAATGTCAGAACGAAAATTTTCGTGGCAAATTTCTATTAGATATAAAATAATATGATTCAAAACAATAAAATATTATAATCTTTATTTGAGCTATCCTAAAGCTTACCGGGAAGTCATATTTTTTTTTTTAAAAAAATATTTATACAAATACATATACAATCAAATTATTTTTTCTTAAAAAACCATAGATTATCAAAAAATTTAAATTGATAAATACTACGTGATATGCCTTTTACTAAATTAAGGAAATTATCAAAAATATTCCTTACTTACATAAATTGATTATTTATAGTTTAGAGGTAGGTATAAGAAAATCAAGTTATCATTTCAAATAAATTCATAGGTTATTTTATTTCATCGAGTCTCAACAGACTAACAGAATCAATTTTGCTACGGCAAAATCGTTTAATGATAATCGCTGAAATTCATTTGGGTCTAGTATATCAAATCCTTTAAATAATTAATAGTGTATAATCGTAACATTAAAAAAAAAGTTTATAGTAGAGCTCCTAATGAGTCGAGTTGACTCACGAGTCAAATGAGTTGACTCGAGTTTGAGTCGAATCGAGTCAAAAA